CCCGCTCGGTGCTGGTTTTCTGTATGTGCGTACGCGTGTGGCATTCGATTGGAGAAGATTACGCGGCAAGGACACTTGCCTTCTCGTTACCACAGCTGATCGTCGTTCACAAGATCAGGGTTGATTATTTCAATTTAAAATGTAACGTGGTATTATAAAACACGAGTTCATATAATCAATTAAACTAATCTCAGTCTATCCGTTCTATTATTTACTCTAATCCTCAGTCTTATCTCCATTTTGGTGTGACTTGATTGCAAAGAGAAATTATGTGTCTGTTCTTCATTTACATTACATTATTTGTTTATTTCAATTGCAACACAGTGACGTTAATTAATTGTTCACGGGATTTGCTGATTTATTTTTTCCGATTAACGAATAATCTGCTACGTTGGAACCGCAAAGTACTGGCGCGATCGGTTTCAGTTAAGCGAGTTAACAATGAAGCAACATGGAAGCAAGCCAAAACCTGGCAAGATGACAAAATCAGACGGAACGCGCGACTGGTGCGGTGTGCTCGATTAAAACTTAATCCTCCGTGAATGGAATCGCCTGGGGAACATCGGGTAGTCGCAATTCGATACATTCACAAACGTTTCCGTCATATACCAGCGAAACCGGCTCCGTCACTTTTCTTTTACGAAAATGAAACATTTCCATACTGACGTGCGGGATCTGGATGTCAAAGACTGACCGTCAAGGCTACGGAAAGTGAAATGAATACGTACAGCGCGTAGACACCCGATTGAAACCTGTTCAAAAGTGTATTAATTGGTCGACCGAGAGAGACCAAGGACGTTTTATTCCTCAGTACTGGACGAAGTTTATTCCTCTTCCTCCCGCTTTCATCGATTCCTTTTAACTTAAATTCTCTACTTCAAAAACTTTTGTTTGACATTTTATTTTATAAAAAACCAAATGAAAAATAGACAACGAAGAACGAAGTACACTGCTCGTATGAGTTACAGAATACCATTTTAAACATCGCGGTGCCGCGCATATATCTACTTAGTGAACCACGACAAATACAGAATTTTCAAGTTGGTCGTTGCGGTCGGCCAAACAACGTCGAAAACGAGAGAACAGGCTTAATTAGCACGCCCGTGGGACTCTCCTCGTTACGGTTCGTCGTCCTGATAGAGCCACTTCCGGTTCGTAAATGCGGACGACGACAATGCCGTCGCGAGGTTTCTTGCATCCCGACGACAATCCGCAAACCCCGTGAAACTAAATAGTCAGACTCTGAAAGTGATTACGTGTTACGAAGCTTTTATACATATCTATTATTATTTGTACCCGTCACACGTTATCAATATCCTGATGAAATTCAGATGGTGAGTATAACAAGATTCAATGATAGATGACTCGTACCTGAGGAACTGGAAGAACTAATTTTGGAACCTCAAGTACTCGTTTCAATTTGTTTCAGTTGAATTGATATTGGGACAATGTTGCGAGCACTGATGCAACTAAATGTAGCGTACAAATCAAGCCGACGAAGATTGACGGGAAGTAAGATCGATGAGGGAACGGGGACAAGCACGTGACCACGGGGCGCAACAGCCTCTCTCTCTAATTATCCTGAACGTACGTTGTACGTCGACATAATTTATCTCGCGACGTCCTTTCCATTAAAACTTTGGCCACCTCTATATAGGGTATGTCAGCGGACGAGGAAAACTGCTGAGCTAACGCGATTCCAGATGAGGGAACACGATTTTGGAGAACGGGACCGTTTTTGGTTATTCGAATATTCTAGAAATGAATTTAATATGTATTAAAATCAATTGATCCTCTCAAGGGATTTGCTTATCTCAAAGGTATCATAAGTAATATCTGCGCTTATTTCCAGTTTTGTACTAAGTCAGTTTTGTATTATTTACTAAATACATTTATCATTACAAATAAGTGCATAAAAGAGGTTCAAAAATCGACATGTTATTCTATGTAAAGGAAATCATCGCACCGACTTTCGCTCTCACTCTGCATGTACAGGTCTAGCCCAATTCAGCTAAAGGACGCGGAACGGCTCAATCTCCGCAGGCAGCCGTCCGTCCCTTTTACCAAAGAACTTAAAAAGTAACCGATGCGAACACATCCACCGAGTAGGTGATATATCTCTCAGAAAGCCAGATGTTTGGCTGCATACGCCACCTCCAATAAACCGGAATAGGTTCCATATCGACGGTCCAAGGTATCCGGCACGGAAGTTGGCACGGAATCGTTCCCGTGGGGTGGTTAGTTGCCAGCCGGGAGCGAGAGTACCACCAAGGAGAAACGGGTACAGTCTTCCAACCGGGGAATGATATATACAGTCCGCCTGGGTCGGACGTACCATGTAAGATTCATTCGGCACGAATCGGCCGGCCAGAAAAGAATCACTTAGTCGACGATCGTCGGGACACGGGGAACGGAATCGAATTCCCCTCCCTGCCCCTGGGAGATAATGGACGTCGCGTCGCTTGGGTGAAAAAAGGTGACGAATCTCGCGGAAAGATCGAGCGGACTCTTCACGGGTTGCCTCAGGAACGAACAACACATTACCGCGCGTCACGGTTGGAAAGGACAAAAAGATGAGGGCCCACATGGACAGTCGTTCACCGTGATACGGAAAACGTGTCATGTGATTTGTTACACAAAATCATCGGGCATGGATTTATAGGAGTGACGTATTTTATTGATTGAGCTGCGATAATAACTCCTTCGGGATAATTGGGCTGGCTTGCTTGCCAGAAAGATGGAAATGTGACGCAAAAGCAATGTCAGTCCGTGCAAGAATTGAATACAACCGAATCGAACAATCGTACGTTATATGAGAAATACTCCTACCATTCATGTCCTAATTAAAATTTTTACCATTTAAATTGACGTTGAAGTATAATACTTCCAATAATACGTTTCCTTACAATTTTTCATTTCTCTCTTTATCATGTTTTTCTTGTAACAATAAAATTGTTGTTCATAAGAACTCATAGAGGATGTTGCGAAGGAATGAACAGAATATCGGAGGTGACGTCTATAAGTTCTTGCGATGACACACATTGATCGTAGAACAATGGTACCTGTCAGTGGATGTCTCAGGAATCGATACAGATCAGTTAAGGAACAGGTATTTGTATGAAAAATTAGTCTAGGCTGCTGTGTTTCTTGTTGGATCGTTTCTAGTCTTTCTATTGAAGACTTTCTTCTTGATGTAGTAGGCAGTATAACTCTGTACAGGTGAAGAAGTGATTGAAGGAATTCAGCAATTTCCACGCTGTTATTCGTAGAAATGATATCCAATCAATAACTTCTTCCATTGTTCTTTATACTCCACGTGATAAACAAGCCTCGAGCATCAGCCGACTAACAATTAAAATTGATTTAACGGCGCTCTTTGAACGACCAAGCTTATGTTTATTTTGTCATATAAATTAAGTAACATAACGTCAATTGCATACATAAAATCGTTAAATGGCTGACTGATAAAGAATATTTATACTTTTCAAATTTCGTTTACGTGTTCGATATATTGTTCGAATTTTTCTGGAAAATTGTTATAAATAAGTTAATAATTAATTCTATACATTCGTAGTGTGAGCGAAGCCGTGACGGGGGATGCTTACATATTGATGTTAGATTCTGAATCTTAAATTCTTAGTTCCTTTACAACTTGTACAAACTCTTGGTCTCATGCATTAATTCCACTGTATCGTTAATCGGCGCATAGAATTAGATTCGCGAAATTGGGTCGTGGAAGTTCGAAAGACGCGAGCGGACGAAACGCTCAACGAGAGATAGTAATTCCGCGTCGCGGAAGAGGACGAACCTCGGGTACGGCGCGGCTGCAGCAGGCGAAACAGCTAAAGTTCTTAGACATTTACAACGACCGTATAACGCCGAAAGCGTGCGGTCTGCTAAGGTACGTAAACTCTCCGGCTGGTTTAGCCGGCCCTATCGTATCCCGGCAACTATTCTTGGACGTTCGCGACGCTTAACTGCACACGGTCTCCTTAGTTGAACGTTCAAACGACGATTCCGCCGGATCGTTAGGCGAGGATCGGAACTTCGAGAGAAGAAGTACTCTCCGAGGAGACATCCGGTAACGTTCGGTCCAATTCAACAATAAAAGAAACGATGCCGGTTTAAATTTTCATTGATTAAACCGTCTGATTAAAATTCGCAAGCGAAACATTTTACTATGCGTGGAAGGTACTAGGTTAATTAACTCGGCAGAACTGTGTTAGTGATACTTTACTAACGCTTGCTGCAGTCGTGTAATAATAAAAAGTATATAAAAAAATGTAATTGAATGTATCAGAATTTCTTTCTATATTAATTGATCATCTCGGTAATGTGATTACCACGCGTCGATCGGTACGTTAACCCTGATCCGGGAGAATTATGTAACGGACGTAGATCCACGCGAAAGATCCATGAGATGAGAAACAATGGCCACGTTTCGGATGCTCCCATCATGAGACGCCGCGATTTAAAGACGTGGGAACATGCCTGCTTTCGTTTCTGACGTCTATCGATACACGAACGCGTTTTCCCTTCATCGTTCCGAAGCAACAACGAGCTTGTACTTGTGTTTCATTTCTTTTTTCTTACATCTTCGTTCGATCGTTGTCTGATAACCTCTGAACGGCAACGAAAGGGAGATAGAAACCAGAACTATCGCTTCCCTCGTTACAAGTGCGCCGAGCTTTAATTAATCCATCGAAGCGCCGTTGGAGAACGGTTTCCCCGAGATGTGAAATAAACCGAGGAAATTCGGTAGTCTCGGTGTAACACGTGTGAAATGAAACCCGCTTACAATTCCCTCTCAAGCTTTTAAAGATTGATCGTGCTGATCGTTAGATATTCATCAATCTACTACTGCTTTTGGAAAAGAATTTTTGAAACATCGTTCTGATTGATCATAAATTTAAACATTATCAATAAAACATCAGTTTCATACGCTATTGTCAAAATCCTTGGGACAACTTAAGTAATGAAAGACACAGAAGGACACATACCAGGTTTAATCTGCTGAGGCTTGGCTCTGGTCCACGAGGTCTCTATCGTCAGTAGTATCAGGATGGCAAGAACTCCACCCAGACTGGTCAGGGTCATCCTGTTCTTCCTGACAGTCGACATTCACCCGCGAATCGAACCGCCGAACGATTTCGTCTCACGGTACCACGAATCTTCCAACCGATTGCGATCGACGACGAAACCGAATATACGCGGACTATCGAGGGAAAGCTGGTTCCAAGGGCGGATTCGCCGACAGCGGGAAATCGTGCACCAAGCAGGATACGAGATAACCGAGTCCGGCTCGACGTGGAGAACCGGCCGTGGCCGATCGTGTGGATCGAGTGAGTGAGGATGGACTGACAGACGTGCGGGCGTACGCACGAGTCAATGAAGTGAGTGGTACTCACCCGTAGAAGCCCTCACCTTACCCAACCCAGAACTCGTCCCCTCGCCGCCGCCTCTCTCGCACCACCTGTCTCCCTTTTACCTTGGCTCCCTTCTTTCCTCCTCTTTTTCTTCTTCTTCTTTCTCTTCTTCATCTTCTACAGAGAAGTATACATACTACCTACATACTCGTTTCCTCTCTGACTGACTCCACGCCGCAGACTCCTTTCTTCCTCGTCCGCGTGTATCACGATTCGCTGTTCCGTTTCTTCCTCTCCCCATCTCCTCTCCGCCTCCTTGACCCTTTTTCTTCCTCATTCTACGGACACTGTTTGACGGTCCGATACCTGCGGACCGCGCTTTTTCTTTCCCCTTTTTCTCCCCGTGCAGATTCTATTTTCCATAGGGTACTTAAGTACGCCGCAATAGCGTGTCAATTTTGCTCGCCCCCTTCGCTACTCTCACTGCGGTTGTTTGCGTTCTTCATGCAGCTCGGTTGATGGGAACCCCGTCGTTTCTTATCGGACCTCATTTTCCTTAGTTACTTAAGATATATTTAAACGCTCATTACTCTTCTTCTTTTCCTCAGATAGCGTATGATTTTCTACTTTACCTCCACGTGGCTTCCGTAAGCTCTCGTTCAAGTTTTACTTTTCACTTCGTTTTTTCATTGAAACTTACCTATCGAGTGCGCAAATTAAAATGAAAAATGACAATCACAAAGTGAAAATATCAGAAATGTATAAATCGCAGAATTTTTAGATAGGCTCGATTTAAAATTATGTTTTCTATTTCAATCACGTAATGATGACGTGATGATAGAATAAATATTCTGCGTCAACAATCGCCTAAAACTCAGTCCTATTTCTTGTTCATAAATAAGCACGCAGTATCGCCAAATTTATTTCGTTCCTTTTCTCCCGGATATGATGCACTTGCTCGGCTCTCGAATCCGCTGCGCCGCCCTTTGTTCACCTCCACCGGGCTCTTCTTTTTCTTATCATCCTGCTCCTCCTCGTTCGCTTCCTCCTCGTCTCGCGGATGTTCCAAACATTCCCTCTGCCTCCTCGGCATCACCAGCATCGTTCGCCTCTCGCTACAGTACTCTCGCTAGTTTCCTGCATTTTGTTTTTCATTCACCCAGGTCGACCCTCTCACACCTCGGCCTCTGTGTCCCCTTTTCTGCTTATCTTCAACCACTACCGCGTAGGATGCGCCGGTCATCTTCCCATGCGAAAACCCTGCTCGTCCCGAAATGATAGGACGTGTATCTCCAGATAGCCAACAACGAACTGTTAAAAACTTTGCCCCTTCGTAATTGCAATATCACGCTTAATAATATAATATAAAAAGTTTTAGGACTAGGCACATTTACAATCTCACTGTGTTCATTAATGATTGCAGAACCTCATTATTAATTAGCCTTGCGAATTTTAAATCAACAGAACTTCAATTCCAAGCTTTTAAGTAAACTTTTAAGTAGGATTCATTTTGCGCTCTATTATTTCACTAGTCCGGTCAGAGTTATTATTGGAAATGGGATCTTTATTTGCTTTACTTTACATGAGCAAAAAAGTCGTCGCTCCAAGATCTTCTCTTACAATTCCCTTTTTCAATTTATCTTTTCATTTTTTTCTATGCATTGCTTTCGCCCAAAACTATCAGCACATTCTTACTTGGAAACATTTGAAAAGATAAGTTTTGTCTGGTGTCTCCATCCTATGCAAACATCTCGGTTATTTGTACGATATTCCAGCATCCGAGTGGAGCACGTTATGCCATTCTGAAATCATTTTACTTGGTAATATGATATTCTGTTTACTCCCCTCCGGTTTCCTTCGCGTATGAAATCGAGGGTAAAATTTCGTGTCATCCGCAAACAAATCTTTTCTTCATGCATGAAAGAAATAATTTTCTGATTACTATGACAATTTAATTGGAGATCAAGATGAAATTCTTCTATTATATAGTCCTACATACCACAATTTCCATTTCTAGACTATTTTTTTACTCAAAGCGAGCATAAAATTTGTATTACATAAGAGATCGACCATTTGCTATTTTACTGAATTCAGAGTGCAAGAATATTTTAAAGTGAATCGTTATCACGTCGTCGTACGTGATTCAATGCATAGTGAAGTAGTAGCTAGCTGGAACAACCTCTGACCAGCTTTTAAGTCGCCCACCAAAATGTATGGCTCGCCACGGACCACGAACACACCGCAACTGGTGGTTGATGAAAAATGAAAATATCCTTGATCTATAATCTACACAGTGTGTCCAGCGAAGTGTACTTACGGGACCAAAAATCTCTGCCATTGTATAATTTCGAAAATTCACTTCTCCAACTTTTCTCTGTCAGATTTATTTGCATAGATGAATTTTGTCGGAACACATGAAAACTGTATTGTTCTCTTTTCGTCCAGTTTTTTAATTATCCTCGCAAAACTCTATCATAATTTTAGTAAAAATTTTTTACTACTGTGGACTTCAGTTACAAGTAGCGTGTTTAATATTTAATTATGGTATAATGTTTGAAATACTGCACGTTATACCATTTTGAAATTTAAGAAATGATGAAAAATGTAAATTTTGTATTTAGAGATGCTGATTAATATTTAGAAAAAGTGTAAAGGTATTGAATCAAATTGGCTGGTGGCTAGGAAAGCTCGAACAGGTCTCTCGAATGCAGCGATTAATCTGTACAGAAGAAAACGCGCAAACTTTCCGAGTCCGTGTGGTCAAGAACCTAATTACCCGCTTCCGATACAAGCTCCCGCATCGCAATCGAAGTTTCCTAACTGCCGCAGGTTAACGTTATCAGCGAAGTTCCTCTCGCGGCACAACGAAACTTTTCTATTTTCGCCTCCTACCAAATTGCCCTTCTGGATCTCTTGCATCGAATTTCGCATCGGAAATCGCGCCGTACGGTATACAAATTAAGTCGAACCTTAAAAGTAAGGGAGAATGAGTTAAAACAAAGCGAGTCCAGCCTTTTATATCTCGATTTTTCGAAAGCGCGAACGCTTGTAATTCAATGTATTTGCACGGATTAAAAAAGAGGGTGACGAGCACAAAAGAATTGGGAAGCGTATAAAACCCATTCAGATTCGACGAACTAAAATTTCAAGTAACATCAGAGTGGCGACGGTGCATTTCGGTTCCGCACTTTTGACATTTCACGAGCGTTTCACAGGACGGGTGGACCAGGCGATTTTCAATGGGATTGTCCTGCGGGAAGAGCGACTTCAAAGGTAGCCGGTATTCACAAATTGAGCGGAGTCAGTCGGGATACCTTTTTGTCGCATCGCGAACGCAAAATTCAACGCACGCCAACGCAACGCGGAGAAAAAAAGAGCCAGGAGAGAGGAAAAAAATTTAGATCATTTTAACGTGATACCATTATTCGCACCGCGATCAAAATCTGACTTTGAAATCATGTTATATCTGATCCAAAATGAATTAAACAAATCTTTTCTCTTAGAACAAGAAACCATAACTCTGTTTCAGTAGAAAATATATTTGATTTGAATTATTTTCATTAATTAATATTAGAATATAAAAAATAGACGTTTATGTACTTTGGACAAAGAAAGCGAATAGTTTTTAAATAACTCAAGGATCATTAACAATCGAATCATAAAATCAACTTAATCATCCATAAAGTGTCTCGGTTGTAGTCGATCAAACATTCTTGTCGTAACGAGAGTGGAGTCGATCCCATCTGTTAATAATTCAATCTCGTGCCACGCGGCACGCTTCTACGAAACTGCGTTAAAAACGTGCTCGTTCCTTATTCGTTGGAAAAAAGATACACGGTTGTATTGATGAACAGAGACCGGACGCACTATCAATTGCGTCTGAATCGGTATTGTGAGCCTCGTGTCGACCCGTAGAAAAAGTATCTAACAGATCTGGGCAAGAGAATCGATTAACTTTAGACACTTGAAGAAAATCGTGAACAAATCTATCGATCTCCAAGCTTATGTATCGATTCTAACTCTCGTTTGTGAAAGGCCCGAAATTGTAAAATTTTACATTTTTACAGACTTTTCAATCACCTGTTGTCAGTCAATGTTGAATATATTTAAATTTCATACATGTTTGTAGCTTGGAATAGAGTTTATTCACACTATCCTGACTAACGGATCAGGACCACAATTGTATCAATTGTTCCATAGTTTTAAAAAATCTTAATTTAATCCTGGAGCTCTTCCGAAGACCTGAACATCGGCGGGAGGAAATATGCAACAACGAAACAGCATTAGAGAACAATCCTTTTATTTTTATTCCTCGTCGAACCGTGCGAGGGTCTCGATGTAAGAACGCGACTTTTACGAAGCGCGTGGATTTTATCGAAAGCGATTCTCTTGGAAAGGACTGAAGTCTCTCGAATATTGATGCGGAGGAAATTTGATTGCGATGGATTCTTCCGGCAGACGCGAGTCTCCGTTCTTTTCGTTTGCTCAGATGTCAGATATTGACGGAGTCTAGAATTTAGAGTTCGATCCTTTTGCTTACCCCGGTGCCTCGTTCAGACTTACGGCTACGGATCGTATATCTCGTGTTATGACCCTATTTCAGAAATTCGCTTCGATATTTCAAATGATATTGTATCTCCTTTCATCAACAGCGACGATTGTTCCCGTACTATGTTAAAAATTATTTCGCTTCTTCCATTTCATTTCTTTGACGTCTCTAAGATCAATTCGCGAATTGAAACATTTTTGGATTACACGATTTCTTAAAAAAAATCTCGAGTACTGATTTCGAATTATTATCACGGATGTGTACGACATTGGTGAGAATCAGCATTTTCCAACGCGGTCCTCGACAAAAGCCTCAGGGCGGTGGAACACTTCGTGGTGGCTGACTGCATCAGAAAATTTCATGGTGCTCCGAGATAGCCGAGATTGCGTAATAGAGATCGCCAAGCGCGGGAGCCGGTCGAGATTGAACTTCACCAGTGTTCTCCAATGAAGTTGGGGACCAGTTCTCTGTTATGGGCTCAGATAGGAGATAATGCCCTTGGAGTAGGCTTTTTGAGAGACACTAGTATCGGCTGCACGTTATAGTGTTACTTCGTTTCTACGTGCTACTAATAAGAAAAAATGTACGAGAAACATCTGTGCAAATCGTTGCACTTTCGATATTCTTTGACAAATATTGCGTTCAGAGCATGTACTATATTAAAATGTAATTACATTCTTGCTTCACACAGTTTTCAGCGTTCTAAGTTGCTCTTAATTAGTATCGAACAAAATCTATTTATCATAGATAAGTAATCGTATATTAATAGAGAAAAGGTGTCATTGATAAGTTTGATTCGTAATCAATTCTATAACTCAAAGTTTTTAATTCTAAGTCCAAATGCGTACGGCAAGTCGGCAGTCGATTTCCCTGTCCTCGTCTCTCCCGGACTTGTGGTAAAACGATCGATCCTCGACCGGTTAATTTATATTCGCGTCAAACCCTTGCCGTTCGCCATCGGGGGAATACGGTTAATCGGGTCTATCATTAATTGATCGAACGCAATTCCTCCGTTCGCGACAAACGGAACGAGCGGCGACAGACGGGCTCCCACGTGCGAACGACGCGATGGGACGCGATAGGGACAGTCAGTCACAGTTTGTTTGGTTCGTTTGTTGGTTCTAACCCGTGTCTACCGCGGATGGCTAATTGTGACGTGCGCGCGAGAGTGGAGAGTGAAGAGATCGTTACGTCGTCCATCACCCATTTATGGCTGCGTAGCCACCTGCCTTTCTCTGTGCGTTTCGCATGAAGATAGAGCCGTTTCGAACGAAAGCCGACCTCCCGTGAGTATCGAGTATTTTGTAACGAGGCTACACACGATCCCCGCGACCCGACGCAGGATCAATTTCTCCCGTTCCGCTCCTTTTTCTTCAAAACCGCTGCTCCTGCGATCTCCTCTTTTTTTCCCTCCTCTCGCCGCTCGCTTCCGATCATGATCGTTCGTCGAACAACTTGTACCATCGGAGATGATCGATGGTATCCCCGCGTGCCGATCCAGGCGACACCGATGCCTCAGGATGAACTTACAAACGAAACGGGGATGATCGTTTATTGATGACGCGTCGAGTGCCTCCGGAGCTGTTCTTGAATTGATAATGTTTGGAATTAACCAAGGATTAAGGAAGCCAAGGATGGTGGTTCAAAGATTACCCGTAGAACCTCGTGCATCCCCAGAGCTGAGAGGTGTAAAGTATTAGAAAATGATGGCAATGATACTTCTGATAAATTATTGTTATCGCATTTTCTTCTCTCTTCGATTCTTTAATGACTGCTAATACACTCGAAGCTTTTAGCTTAGCTTTTAACGGTAGTTATACAATTTCGCTTCCAACACAGTTTTCGCAGAACTTTACCCCGGTAAATATTTCCTCAGCATCCGTTGCGCAATCAGAGCAAAGTTTTTCGATCGTTTTCCATGCTTCGTCCGTGATCTAATTACGATCTCCGTATTTCATCTTTCACGAGACGAATTTCTTAAAATCGTCTCTCATCTTGCGCATACCGCATCCTTCCTAGGAGCTATCCATGTTCTAATTTCACCGCACATATTTCATCCCAGGGACGAACATCTTCCTGCGCGATCAGCTCGAGAGATGGTGCGTTTTCTAATTGCCTTTTACAGCCTGTGTCGCTGATTTTAATCATCAACCACATGCATCATCTGCGTGAAATATTTCTTCTCGCGTGTCCCGATCTCCAGAACTAATTTCATTCGTTCCGGGGACACGTAGGACTGCATTGGAACACGGAGTCCAAAGGTCAAAGTATTCTGACAAAATTTTGTATTCATCTATGTAATAAAAACGCATAAGGCGACTGTCATTAATTCATTCATTGGGAAGATTAACACGGAAACGTAATTACAGCGTGATTACGAGTTAATCTATCATTGTGTTTGTTGGTAAGCGCAACTCCCTAATGCTCTAATGGATTAAATGCAGCCACCGATCTCTGTGCCGTTGTTAATAAATCGCGTTAAACCTTTTACACCGTTTGACTCTAATGCACTCCGAATGCATCCAGCGTTCGCTATAAACTTCACCCCAGTTGTTAAAATCGGTGGACCATATCGAAACTCGATGATGTACTCTGCAATATTCCTTTTGAAGTCACTATTTTACATTACTGATTTAACATTAAAAACTAACATTAATGATCGACCAGGAATTAGAATAAAAATAGAGTTGCAGATAACATTTGTGCGATAGCGTAAATTCCCACCGTACGAGGTTAAAGGGAATCGAGGATCCTAAAAGGGGTGGAGGCTTACAAGAAATATTGAAGCGAAAAAGACAAGGTAGAGCAGCGTGCTTCAAAACGATACAATTACGAGGCTGTAGTCGCCCGTTTCGCATAATGCATATCGAGCTACTAGGGATTGTACAATATACAGGGCACTAATTTCCGTGAATCCAGCACCACTAGGAAGCTTTTCTTGCTCGGCCGCTCGAAGCGTAGTAACCGCGAAGCATGAAGTCACATCGGTGATTAGTGATGGGACCGATCGAATTCGACCATTAAACTGTTAGCTCTCTTGACGGCTTACTTGATTTTAAGAAAATTGGAACACCTTGTCTTATCTCGTAGGCAAAAAATTTTTAAATTAAGTCAACATGTAAATTTCCAATACATTTTTTTTAATATACCGTGTCGTCCACTAATGCGCATGTGTTTTTCATTAGATAATATTGTTATAAATGTAATTAAATACACTTTGAATATTTAAAAAAGCAATTCTTCACTGGATGAAAAAATACAATTACGTTCCTGATAATATAAAGTGTATCTACTATTTATGGTAATGATTACTGAATATTGTTTTGTAAGAAATAGTAATAGATAACTCTCATCTAGCTAAAATATAGAGGTAGGCATTAAAGAATTGAGAAGAACGGTAGCCTATGTTTCGCCAACGATTTCAACAACGGTAGAGATCATAATTCAAAGAGATTTTGGTCCCATCGCGAGGGTATTGTTCCCATCACTATCGATGATGATCGGCGAGCGCTCGGCAGGCGGTCGGCTTCGTTCCCGCAGCTTCTTCCAGGGCGACTCTCGATCCATGTTTCATGAGGCACCTCGTGCTCGAACTAGAGAGAGGGCCGGCCACGTACAGGCACTTACAAGCCGAGTGAGCCAAGCCGCCGCTACTCTGAATCACAGCCACCTAGGCGATTCTTTGTGATCCATGCACTCGCGACACTACGGCGCCACCCTTACTTTTTTCCTCTCGCGATTATTATTGTCTTTATTCCCCGACCGATGCGGTGAACCACATCACCGATTTGCTCGAAATCGCCGCGCTCGTATCCGCATCAATATTATAGAATTATAATACGGCTATTGTTAGCGAGATAAACGGAATGATCTTCCTTTGAGTCAGAATTATGGTAATATCAGTAATTATGGTAATATGGAATTTCTGATGGTAACAAATCAAATTACGATAACATATTAACTACGAAAGCTAATTACATATGAAAGCTTTAAATCGTCCTATTAATTAAAACAATTGTTTGCTATAAGAATTTCAGGACAAAGCCGACACATTATTCCTCTCTCTTCTACTATAACAAATGTAATCATTTTTCGTGTTTTTACAGTTTTATTTTTTTCCTGATCCGACAAAGGACCAGCCGTGGCAAGCTCGGTATAAGAACCGAAACACGCGCGCGGCCGGCGTTTAAAAGAAAAATTCGCCCACGAAATGTGCGTGCGAAGTTGCAATTGCCACGGATGAATAATGGACAGGCGAAACATTACGTCGGAGATGACGTGCAAGCTGAATTCGTAGAAAATCATCCCGTACACACGTCTACAGTGAAATATAAGTGCGTACGGGTAATATACTTGAACCCCGGGTAATTCGCGAAATCATCGATGAATTCGACGAAGGTCTCCTCCGATGTGAACGGCGAGAAGGGTTGACGTGATTTATGTTCGCCACGTGGCCCGTGTGTTTGCAAAACGGCCATCGATTGGAACTCGTTTGTCTCGGCCGATCGGCCATCGATCTGCTTAAGTAACGTACCATAGATCTCTCGTTATCACCCACTGAGTTCCTGGTAACCGGTAAAAATCCGGTTACGCAAGGTGCGTGGTTATATTGAGTTCTCTGCCAGTACTTATTGCTGGCACAGCGGGGTGTATATATAACTATTTAATTCGCTTTGTTCATTTCACTGTGTAATAATACTTAATCAAATCGAAATTTCCTAAAATAAATTGATCAATAAATCAATCAAAATAATTATTTAATTTATTTTGTTTATTAGGTTGTATGTATAGTATTTTATGAGCTTGATTTTTTGTACAATAAGTAAGACTACTTCAGTTCATAAAGCAAAGGTCGCAATTTATTACATTACAAGCAACTACGTAATTAAAAATTAATTCACAGCTTTTGTTGATGAATCGGACATGCAGCGTCATCTAGTATGAAGAAATATATCATTCGTGTTCGCTACGATCGATGCCATCTTTATCTAAAGTAATCTTCAATATTAAAAATCAATAATCGATAGATATTAATATAATAATTATTTCTTTAATCTGAAATCTGTAATGTGGCGAAGCGTTAGCGTTTGTGATTAAGGCAGCACAATCGACCCAACAGCCAAACATTAAACAGTAGCAAGCAGCTGCGTTTGCGTGCTGAGTGTAATTGTGTATGGTGATGGTGTAAGCCAGTGTAAGCGTTCTTCCTACTTTAGAAGTAACGCGTGAACGGCGTGAACGGTGCGTGTGCAAGAATAGTTAGAGTATAATCAAATTTGACGTTGGGAAAGGAAATGAGTGATGCCGAACTACAGGTGGAGGAATGCGAAGTACTTCTTTCGATATACGAAGGAGATCCAGCTTTTAAACAGTTGACACCAACTACTTTCCAATACAAGGTCTGCCCTTACAAACGTACCAAGAATATTTCGTTAAATACTTGAATTCCTCTTAAATCATAAACATAATAACGATTCCAATTTGTTAAGAACTAATATAAATTATAAGTAGGTCGTATTCGTTCAAATTCTGCAAAATTTGTATTATGCACATGCATATAACCTTTTTGTTTCAAGTAGTATGGAGAAGATAACGATATGAAGTCATTCTTATTGGAAATCTCATGGGGTGCGACGTATCCATCAGAAAGGCCTATTATTAACATGAACACTTTCTACAATAAACACATGTAAGTACATTCAAATTATACTCAGACTATTCTTGCATCCTATTGCTTTCATTAAAGGTGAATGATTGGAATACAGTGTGCAAGAAGTAAAAGACAAAGTGGTTCAACATGTGGAAATGGAGGCTGATCAATGGTTGGGCAGTGCGATGACCTACACATTGTTTCAATCTGTTCAAGAGCATTATACAGAATTGATTTCTGCACAACCAGATTCTAATGACTTGAACACCCAAACGAGCCAGCTTAAAATAGCGGATGAGAATCAACAGGTAAGAGGCAATTTTAATAAATGATATATTTATTTAAAATACATGAGATAAAACCGATTTATTTTGCAAGTTGGAAGAATCAACAAAAAGACCAAAGAAAGAACATCTGACTAAGGCTCAAAAGCGTAGGCAATGGAATAAGGCAGACGGAAAAGGGGAGAGACCAAGAGGATGGGACTGGGTTGACATAGTAAAACATTTATCACAGACTGGTCCTAAGCAAGAACAGGAATCTTAGTTGAACTTCATTGAAATATTTGTACAGGTTAAAGGCGTGTTATATTTTTATAAATTATTGGAAATAAACTGGTTTCCATATCGGTTTTACTATACTATAATCACCTGTGATAAAAATTTATAAAAAAATATAAATAATTTTATCTCATTGCCAACACATAATTTATGAGACATACAAATAAAATTATAAAATTTTATCACGGTAAACGATATCAAGAAAGGAGTCACGATGTTCAACATTTACACTCCGTTTTTATGTGTCCTCTTTACAAAAACCTCCAGCCAGCTACTGGTAATAAATTAGTTTCTGTTATCCATCCTAAAAGGAAGAGCCAAGAATTAAGAATAATAATAAAGAAGAGTATGAAATTTTTATCATATCTAGATGTAAATTATTTACCTTTGTTTTCAAGGCCACTAATAAATGCTTTGTATTCACAAGAAATTAACAAGTTAGTAGCGTAAATGCTCTCTATAGCTTTTGAAGATTGTGCACTACTACTTGTAGTAAAGTATTTCGTATTAAGTACGTATATTCGCATTAAAGGGTACGATGGATCGCTTACTTTGGGCCTTAAAAACACATCCTAAAAAGACATTAGAAATCGTAATACAAACATTAAAACAGTTCACTTATGTGATTTACTTACAAGTGGCACTTTCAGAGACATACAAATATACAAGCCGCAAAGACAAGCGTGAAAATATGCTTCGAGGATGTCGTAAGGTTGCGCATCTTTTTTAAGACATATAAAAATAGTTTTATTCTGTACATCAATAGAAATTAAATATTTTCTATCTAAGAAAAGTTTCAATGCTAGCTCCGTGTCACTGGTTAAAATTATATCTCTTTTAATAAGATCAGCCAGAGATACGCCTATTTTAATATTAAATCCGCACACACTCATCGCTGAAAAAATAATTGGGTCGTAATCTTGCCGATTATTGTTTAACCTTGAAGTAAAAAATATCCTTACTAGGTTTTCTTAACAATAACACAGATTCCTTTTTATTAATTTCCTCGGGTACCGGAATGACTTCATTTAAAACATAACTTTTCACTATCAAAGCTAAACGGTCCTCGTTCAAAGAGTTCAAGCACAATGCTTTCACAGCTGAATAATTTGCATAGAGATGTACCATTACCAGAATGAGATAAAGTTCCAGTACGTATCTATATACAGATTATATATATATACATAGGTATAGATTAATATTACTAAATAACGAGAAAATAAATAAATTCTAGTAATAGAACATTTACCGTCCACTATGTACCATTGAGAGTATTAAAATACCAACAAAGCTTGCTATTAAATTTACACACGTTTCCTGACTCCCATCTTTGGCTGATACATCTGCCAAATTATTTTGTAACGCCTACAACATCACATTGTAACTAACTAGAAAACAAATTTGTTTCCAGCTCTTATGTACCTGATGTTGTGTAAGTGCTGCTCTTGTTGCTCCGCCTGCTACGCCAACAATAGATTTCATTGCTGTTGACACACACAATATCCCAAGGGAATAAGGAGAAAAATAAGGTAAGAGTAGCTCTAATCCCATTGCTAAATCATTAAGAATGTCAGCAAATAGTCTCCACTTTTTACATTGACCATCCAAATCTGTTCTAATAAACAAGAAAACAAACACTACTTTTACTGAGACTAGCGAAGAATTTAACACTGTCACATGTGATTTTATTTACCCATTCCACCATGCAAATACAATACGACCAACCATTCCAGTTCCATCTTTTAATATCCATGTTATTGCTGCTGCTAATGGTGTTGCTGCAGCTTCACCTACACCTACGCCTTGCATAATGGAATGTGTTGTAAGAGTGCCCATTATAGTACTGGCAAATGCCTGTAACAAATAGTATATACCAAACTACAGTCACAAACAACAATTTCATTCATGATATTACGAGGAATTATTGCTGTTGTCAGTGGAACCTAACCTGAACCGTATCCCATATCTGATACGGAGTGTAGTCAGGGTGAACGCTGTCAGGATATCCTTGAGGTAAAAATACCTCTTTCAGAATCGACACGAAACTGGAATAAAAAGATTTGGTTCTGGTTGTGTCTGATAACAATTCGGTTATTGATTGTTCATCTGGAAAATCGTGTCAATAGGTTAAGAAAATTTAACAGTGAAATTTGGCGTGTCAAGGCGAAGTTACCTTTGGATTTAACAAAAAATGTTTCCTTCTCACTCCCGTAGGCTTCCGTGAACAGTAATCGTTCGTGCATCTTGGACTTATCACTTTAATTTCATTTGAATGCACAACACGACATCGTATGTACTTTTCGTTTTCATAGATGTGTTCAATCCATATTATATCCACACGCGTTGCACTTGCACTGGTGCAACGATATTTCCCAATCGAACTTTTTTCGAGACAAGTAATTTGTATGTAGTACAACAAATGAAGTAGATATTTTCTTTTAATCAATCGGTATCATATTTTAATCGCTGATCCAACAAATCGCCTTCCTTCATCGTTTAATGTTCGCTGATTCCCTCTTGCTATTATTTTGAAAAGATTAAAGATACATCTTCGATTATTTCATTAAGTTCGTTTATGCAAGCGTCCAATCTCCTTTTCACATTTTTCGCATCGAATTTTACGTTTCTATATAAGTTGATCTTCTGTATCTTATCGTGAAAGTCGGAAATCAAATGATTTCCACGGAACTCTGCGCCACCGCCCATTCGATTTGTTGGACATTTGAAAAGTTGACATTCATCTTCTTGGAACTTATCCTTTTCAGGCTCCATTTTAATCAACTTGCACAAACGATCTACATCTTCACGCGATGGTTCCTCTTCGGATGCGTAAACTTCTAATTGAAGATTTTGTTCGTCTTCCTGTTTGATGTTCGTTAAGATAAATTTTTCTTTATCGTAACCAATGTGAATGTCAGATTCTGATGAAAGCTTCATTTTCTTATTCGGTTTTAAAAAATTGTAGTCCGTCTTAAAACAATTTAAGAAAATTCGTTTCCTTCTTCGATCCATTGCCAAGTTACACTGTACTCCGTGAGAAATTTTCTTAATCCTTCTTCTTGGCTTGAACTCGATAACAGGATTACGTTTCGTTTGCACTTTTAATTTAGACTCAGAACTGTTTGCATCTTTGATATTTTTCGATATACTCTTCTTATTTGTCGAATCATTTTGAAAGATATTAGCGAGAACTTTTGAATTTTCTGAAATCATACATTTATTGTACCTCACATTCTTTTGTAAATCGTCGATTTCTCTGTTGTAAGAAACTGGCTGGGACTTTTCGAGTAATTTCCGTTCTCCATCGGGAATATCAGGATTGATATTGTTTAGAGTACTGACTTCATTTCGCAAGTCTAAAATCTTTTGATTTAAAGTGTTTATGAGTTTTGCGATCTCGTTCAGACTCACTCCTTCATCTTGGACGCGGCAATAACAACGATTTGGTATTACTTGTTTCGCGTGCGTTGACATTCTCACCGGTACCTTTATCTGACACCATGTTATGCGTTCAAAGTAAAGTAAGTGACTAGAATGAAATGTTACGTTTGCTAAAGTGAGGAAACCGATCGCTCGAGTTAAACCCTAATGCTTGCACAATTCTTTTAATTAAAATTGTAGGTTGTATTTCGTGTCATTGCCGTGAAGTAAATTTCGTTTCGCGTTGCGTCTCATCTGTTCCCTCGTTTCAGTTAGAAACTGAAATGTGCGTTACGTATTTTTGGAATTTGTAAACATGCTGCGCATCTTGCTATCCGTAACATGTCCGAGAAGTACGTGAAGGAAATTTTAGAGAAGCTCGAGGAAATCGAGAAACTGCACGCGAAACTGCGTCGTTTGGTGCCGCGCGTGAAAAATCATGAGCCAGAAAATCCAAGTTTGAACGCCGCTTCCCGAAGGCGTTCGACTAATATGGGAAATAAACAGCCTGTCGCGAGAGAGACGATTAAAATGGATCTACCGGAACAAAAGCCTATCGGTTTTCGTCGGGATTCAGGATTCTTGAAAAATGCTTTTAAAACTTCTACAACGAGGATGAAAAAGTTGTTCGATACCAACGCGAGATCTACGAAACATCTCAGAAAGTTTCATCGAGAATCTCAGAACAAGTGGGGGAGATTTAAAAGGAACTCCATCGATTTCATCACGACACAATGGCAAGATAAAAACGACAGAATCAGAGATTTTTGGTCAAGCATAAGCGAACCTGATGTTATATTAGGTAATGGTTTGTTGAGTTTAGGAATAGATACGTAACACAGCATAATCGATAAATCTTCTACCATTTATAGTCACCAGAGCTTCTCAGACATCAGAAACAGACATAAAAAAATTAGCTTCGAGAAGTCCTTCGCTTTTTACTCCTGAACTAGAAAAAAGAAGATCCACGCCTACGAATTTGTCGAGGCGGTTGAAAAAACGCTTTAGTTTTTCTCGTGATCCTAGTCCGAAAGAGAGTACAGTGATGGTTCATCATAATTTAAGCGAAAGTGAACCGCATAAGGTACGAAAAACGTCATTCGTTCCAGATGAGAAATCGGAAACATTAAAGATTGTTTCGTCTGCGAGAAGAATCTCTGTCGACGGTTGAAAACAACCTTCATCAAGTAGTCGAGCAAACAAACTGGCATCTACTTAGGATAGTATTCAAAAATTTCTGTACGATCATCGATATCGCGCGAACTACATACTAGTTTAGTATAAATATTTATAATTTCCTTCATAAGAAATTGATTAAAATAGGAAACAAAAAACAGAAGGATCCAATTAGTGGCATATTAATGTCGCATAATTTGTTAATTACGCAAATATGATTTTTATTCATTTAAAATATGCGTCGTATAATTCCCGTCGCTGTAATCCACCGCCATTTGAATCCGGTTCGAAAACGTTGTCATGATGGTACTTTAAGCATCCTGATGGGAAGGAAATGTTCGAAAGAAACCTTAGAACGCGTGGGCTGGATGATGGGGGTACCGGAAAGGCGAGTTCCACCGGAAGTCACGGAGGTTCAAACGTAACATTACGATCACGAGTAAACCCTTCGATCGTGCTTTGTTTAATTCCAATTCCGATTTCCCGACTAACTGAACTCATTCGCCATACAACTGTACATTACACGTGGCTAATATTTAATTTTTATTAAATCCGATTTTCTTTCCAAATTCTCTGTTCTGTATTTTGTTCTTTAACAGACAGACATTTTCCTATTGCGTATCTACTTTAAAAAGAAACAAGTTCAGCGTAATTATGAAGAGCTTCGCAATTTTCGCCACTGTTTACTTATATAGTTCGATTTACGCAAGAACTGACGTTGCCAATCGAGTTCAGCGACGATCAAGGACATTAGACATATCAGCGACTATTATAGATCTCACAGAAACACAGTACTTGTAACGAGATTTTCTACAGCGTAAAAAGTGGTACTCTGACTTGCATCTATTGCAATTTTACCTCAGGCGATGAACAATCAACGCTGGTAATGTGTTTAACGGTTTTTCGTAGGAACAAAAAGTACATTTTCTGACAGTAGCGCAAACATCGGTTATTCCAAAGAACAGATATAAGTATACACATTTTACTGTCTATATGTGAAACATTATAAACTAATAGATACTTCAAGTTTGAGTCATTTTAAAGCAACGCTCTTTTACAGTAGTTCATGTATTTATAAACACTCATAAACCACCGAATAGTTTCTTGTTTACGATACGTCCAACATGTTCCAAATTTTTATTTCATTCATTCAGAGTCCACATCTGTTCTTTGACTATAAAAAAGAAACCATCTACAACAACTTTCCAAACAATCCGCTATGATTAAACATCCTCCGGTTAGGAGTTTCTGTTTGACACAAAAGCGTATCACTGTATCAAGAGGGTGTTGGCGCTCCGGTTCTTGAAACCAAGAAGCTCCCGATAAACAAACCGGCCGCACTTAAACGGGCCGGGTAAAAGTGCGAATAAACGTTCATAGTACATATATGCACATACACAGAGGTGGCCTCCGCTGCACCCCGCTCTTCCTAGGCCCCGTGCTCGTTTTCCAGTCAACGACTTCGTCGGTCGCTGTTGCACTTACGTGCACTCCTGCATGCGGGAAATATGGCATGCCGCATACAAGCACGTGGGACGCCATAGGTGGGGCTGTGTGCCTTGCAGGCCAGCGGTTCTTAACCCTTTTTGCGATGAAACCCTCCTTAAATACCGTTTCGTTGTAGGGGACCACCAACGTTAATAATGATCTAAATCTAGAGAATGTCTGAACTTACAAAACCGTCTATTGACAATACGCATATTTATAGAAAACGAAAATATAAAAAAATAGATATACTATGCTATGTTAAATGGTTTTTGTTAAAACAATTCTATGCATGTGAATTGATTCGACACCCTGGAGACTGTCGGTTAAGAGCCTCTGTCGCAAGCTATGCTTGTGCTCGGAGTCGCAAGTCGCATAACAACGTGGCCCTATTCGATGCTTTGTGCGTCTCCGGAGAGACGAATGGTGGTGGTTTGATAACGCAACGGCACCTTGGAATTCCATGTTCCAATTTCTTTTTACTGCATGGAGAGTATTTCGCAGTCATCGTTGCCGTTTTCATTGACCCTTGACGATTCCAACGAAACGAGGATGGAACGAGATTTGTTAAGAAGTCTCGAACAGTCATGTTTGGTCGTTCGTTTCGTCGCTAATCAAGCCTAGAATGCGTGTGACGATTCTTAGAAATGCAGCTGCTACATTACCATTTATGGTGTGAACGGAAAGTCGAAGGATGGAAAATTTTCTTTTTGAAATCTCGTCCAGATAATCGCGACGATCAAATAGACACGATTTTGAAGGTGAATGGTCCGACTTGGACCACCGCCAAGCATCTAGATGTACTGCAAAAGATTATCGTGTATATTTACCTTAAGTTTTCGAAGAAATTGAACGTCAGTAATTTATAGATATCATGAATCTTTAGAGCAGATTATAAGATACTTGTATACACCGGAAATTATGCAGACACTTTCCGTAAAGTGAGAAATGTCTAACGGCAAACGTTTATACATAGTTCTTTTACTCAACATTATTATTCTGAAAGAATTTAAGCTTGCAAGCCCTGTCTAGCCGAAGGGTTCGCGAGCACGCGACCGTAAGTCGCACGGCATTCTTGTCTCTTCCCTTCTTTTCTGAATCGCCTTTTGCCCCGTCCCCACCATTCCACGGTTTTATAATGCCTCTCTGTCTCTGGCACTTCCTGTGTTCCGCCACGCTCACCTGTCTACCGGCGGCACCTGCCTTCATAAGTATCTAGGTGTACACAGTGTATAGAGTAGGTGAACGTGGCGCATATCCTATGGGACTTTTAGTTTCCCCGCTCGCTCCTGCGGACGGTCACGGTATTGTGCTCTGTTGGTTTGCACGTTTTACCTGGACACGCGTTGCACATACACGCAGTCGATGTTACGCCGTCGTTCACCACAGACGAGCTCTATCGAACTTTTCCTCTCCCGCTGATAACAGTCGCGAGTCTTGCGGCTCGCGCGACCATTAGTGCCTCCTGCGACCACGACCGGTTACGCTCCTCTGGAACTATCCACTGGAATCCAAAGGTTCGATTTCATTTCACGCTGTAATATCGTCTCCTTCGATAACTTCGTAGTGATACCTTCTAAGGGACCAATCCGTAATTTTTCAAACAAGTTTTATAAATCTAATCAATATATGACAGATACGCTGTGGAGTTTCCAAATTTTCTAAATGAAAATGTCTATTTTCATTCCAGAATATTGAATTTTGAGTGTTACTGTCAAAATGTAGGCTTCATAAAATTGAAAACTGTCTACGATAGTTTATCTAAATCCTTATCGTTATTAAATTACAAATATACACAAATTTTCAATATATTCTCTTCTGACACTCGATAGCTAGTACTGCGTATTTAGCTACCTGAGAGAATGAAAGGCTCACTAAGGTCTAAAAGAGTATTATTGGTAAATTCATAACGGTGCAAGAAACCAATTGTGTCCTTCCTTGAAAGGGAACGTTAGGGTCTTTGGAATATCCCCTGAACAGTCCCTGTAGGTAGATAATTTACTTTGTTTAATACGTATATTATTTACCATGTTTACAGTTAAGAAGAAGGAAGACTATAATACAATAAACTAATCCGTCAAGGATGGCCTAGGAAGATCTAAAATTCCGCAGGGTCGAGCCTACCAATGGTTCTCGATTTTACGAGCTTGGTATTCGCAAGTTCCCTAAATAGTGAAGGACATTTTAGTGTAATATCGTATTCTCCACTTACAACTAGTTCAGAGGTGAATTTTCTCTGTAAAGTGACTGTTAACTATTTTTACATGGATCCGACATGTCATCGCTTGTTTTAGTGCTTTAGAATGCCATTCGGACTTCATATTCGGTGAGTAAACTCTTCCATACATCTCTTTAATTAGATAGACAATATTCCGACTCTTTCGTTTCCGTAATACTGTTTTATTAAAAGACGTCATTGTAAAGAACATTTAAGGCCAGAATATTTGAGCAATAGTTATACTGAATATTTTTAGTTAAATAGTTATTGTCAGCGTCAAGTAAAGGGATTTAAAAGTATTAGCGTCATAAACCATTCACAAGCCGTACTACTGTAAGTAAGGGAAATCCCAGGGTCGCCATTTGGAAAACAAATTTCGGACATTGCTAGTCAGGGCAGGTAGAAAAGCCTATCGAGACAATAGACTCTACGAGCGTTTCTTCTCATAAATGAACGTAATGGCGTTCGTCCCTCCTGGCGTGAATACGCACGTGTTCCGGCCGCGTTCCAAGTTCCAAGACCGAACAATTTCAATTCACTTCCACGTTAACTTTCCCACAACAAACGTTTCGTTAATTAAAACTTCACAAGATTATAAAATTCTTATACATTAATTTAATCCTTGAGACACTTAAAAGTTTTTAGTCATCTGATTAAAAAATAACAAGCAATTTTTATTTTATATTTAATTCGTATAAAAAATACGTATCTCATTATTATGAATTCAGTAATTGAAATTTAATGTTCCCAATTAAATTTACTCGAGTTACACACTGATAAGTATCAACGCGTTAATTGCGGGCTAACGATTGCTAAATTGCATCATTTGTTTGATGCATCGCGATGTAACGGAGGATGCTCCCTGATGTATAAACTGGAACGAGTGCATTATCAATTCGAAACAATCCGATTTGCGAGGTAGAATAATGGGGACGTCATGCATCAACCATTCTCCAAGACTGTTTACCTATTGCCGCGTATGCAGCTGTGACAGCCTATTACACAGGTTCTCGCTGTGTGCATCTACCTTTGTTTCTCGCCTACTCCCTCGTATGTATAAATGGCAGCTTTTAATGGGAAATACTCAACTAATAAACTGCTAACTGAATCGTCTATACATCTGTTTAAATATAGATAGAAATACTTTTGCCGCTAGATTAGTAACATTTTACCACAGATACGGATAAAGGTAAAAGTAGATTGCAGTGATAAAATTGATTTACTCTAAAAGCAACAATCGAGCACTTATTGTAGTTAATTTAACACTAGAAAGACTGAAACTTAGTATATACCTATATTGCCCAAAGC